CTGGTATTACCTGATAGTCACACACACACACACACACACACACACACGTCTCAGCTACAGGACGGTCAGCACAGCTGGTATTACCTGATAGTCACACACACACACACACACACACACACGTCTCAGCTACAGGACGGTTCAGCACAGCTGATATTACACACACACACACACACACACACACACACGTCTCAGCTACAGGACGGTTCAGCACAGCTGATATTACCTGATGGTCACACACACACACACACACACACACACACACACGTCTCAGCTACAGGACGGTCAGCACAGCTGATATTACCTGATAGTCACACACACACACACACGTCTCAGCTACCAGGCGGTTCAGCACAGCTGGTATTACCTGATAGTCACACACACACACACACACGTCTCAGCTGCAGGACGGTTCAGCACAGCTGGTATTACCTGATAGTCACACACACACACACACACACACACACACGTCTCAGCTACAGGACGGTCAGCACAGCTGGTATTACCTGATAGTCACACACACACACACACACACACACACGTCTCAGCTACAGGACGGTTCAGCACAGCTGATATTACACACACACACACACACGTCTCAGCTACAGGACGGTTCAGCACAGCTGATATTACACACACACACACACACACACACACACACGTCTCAGCTACAGGGCGGTTCAGCACAGCTGGTATTACCTGATGGTCACACACACACACACACACACACACGTCTCAGCTACAGGGCGGTTCAGCACAGCTGGTATTACCTGACAGTCACACACACACACACACACGTCTCAGCTACAGGACGGTTCAGCACAGCTGGTATTACCTGATAGTCACACACACACACACACACACACACCACACACACACGTCTCAGCTGCAGGGCGGTTCAGCACAGCTGATATTACACACACACACACACACACACACACACACACACACACGTCTCAGCTGCAGGACGGTTCAGCACAGCTGGTTATTACCTGATAGTCACACACACACACACACACACCACACACACGTCTCAGCTACAGGACGGTTCAGCACAGCTGGTTATTACCTGGTAGTCACACACACACACACACACACCACACACACGTCTCAGCTACAGGACGGTCAGCACAGCTGGTATTACCTGATAGTCACACACACACACACACACACACACGTCTCAGCTACAGGACGGTCAGCACAGCTGGTATTACCTGATAGTCTCACACACACACACACACACACGTCTCAGCTACAGGACGGTTCAGCACAGCTGATATTACCTGATGGTCACACACACACACACACACACACACACACACACACACACGTCTCAGCTACAGGACGGTTCAGCACAGCTGGTATTACCTGATGGTCACACACACACACACACACACACGTCTCAGCTACAGGGCGGGTCAGCACAGCTGGTATTACCTGATAGTCTCACACACACACACACACGTCTCAGCTACAGGGCGGTTCAGCACAGCTGATATTACCTGACAGTCACACACACACACACACGTCTCAGCTACAGGACGGTTCAGCACAGCTGGTATTACCTGATGGTCACACACACACACACACACACACACACGTCTCAGCTACAGGACGGTTCAGCACAGCTGGTATTACCTGATAGTCACTGACACACACACACAGACACACACACACACACACACACACACACACACGTCTCAGCTACAGGGCGGTTCAGCACAACTGGTATTACCTGATAGTCACACACACGCACACACGTCTCAGCTACAGGGCGGTTCAGCACAGCTGATATTACCTGACAGTCACACACACACACACACGTCTCAGCTACAGGACGGTTCAGCACAGCTGGTATTACCTGATAGTCACACACACACACACACACACACACGTCTCAGCTACAGGACGGTTCAGCACAGCTGATATTACCTGATGGTCACACACACACACACACACACACACACACACACGTCTCAGCTACAGGACGGTCAGCACAGCTGATATTACCTGATAGTCACACACACACACACACGTCTCAGCTACCAGGCGGTTCAGCACAGCTGATATTACCTGACAGTCACACACACACACACACACGTCTCAGCTACAGGACGGTTCAGCACAGCTGGTATTACCTGATAGTCACACACACACACACACACGTCTCAGCTGCAGGACGGTTCAGCACAGCTGGTATTACCTGATAGTCACACACACACACACACACACACACACACGTCTCAGCTACAGGACGGTCAGCACAGCTGGTATTACCTGATAGTCACACACACACACACACACACACACACGTCTCAGCTACAGGACGGTTCAGCACAGCTGATATTACACACACACACACACACACACACACACGTCTCAGCTACAGGACGGTTCAGCACAGCTGATATTACCTGATGGTCACACACACACACACACACACACACACACACACGTCTCAGCTACAGGACGGTCAGCACAGCTGATATTACCTGATAGTCACACACACACACACACGTCTCAGCTACCAGGCGGTTCAGCACAGCTGGTATTACCTGATAGTCACACACACACACACACACGTCTCAGCTGCAGGACGGTTCAGCACAGCTGGTATTACCTGATAGTCACACACACACACACACACACACACGTCTCAGCTACAGGACGGTCAGCACAGCTGGTATTACCTGATAGTCACACACACACACACACACACACACGTCTCAGCTACAGGACGGTTCAGCACAGCTGATATTACACACACACACACACACACACACACACACACGTCTCAGCTACAGGACGGTTCAGCACAGCTGATATTACACACACACACACACACACACACACACGTCTCAGCTACAGGGCGGTTCAGCACAGCTGGTATTACCTGATGGTCACACACACACACACACACACACGTCTCAGCTACAGGGCGGTTCAGCACAGCTGGTATTACCTGACAGTCACACACACACACACACACGTCTCAGCTACAGGACGGTTCAGCACAGCTGGTATTACCTGATAGTCACACACACACACACACACACACACACACACCACACACACACGTCTCAGCTGCAGGGCGGTTCAGCACAGCTGATATTACACACACACACACACACACACACACACACACACACACGTCTCAGCTGCAGGACGGTTCAGCACAGCTGGTTATTACCTGATGGTCATACACACACACACACACACACACACACACGTCTCAGCTACAGGGCGGTTCAGCACAGCTGGTATTACCTGATGGTCACACACACACACACACACACACACACACACACACGTCTCAGCTGCAGGACGGTTCAGCACAGCTGGTATTACCTGACAGTCACACACACACACACACGTCTCAGCTACAGGGCGGTTCAGCACAGCTGGTATTACCTGATAGTCACACACACACACACACGTCTCAGCTACAGGGCGGTTCAGCACAGCTGGTATTACCTGATAGTCACACACACACACACACGTCTCAGCTACAGGGCGGTTCAGCACAGCTGGTATTACCTGATAGTCACACACACACACACACACACACACACACGTCTCAGCTGCAGGGCGGTCAGCACAGCTGGTATTACCTGATAGTCACACACACACCATACACACACACACACACACGTCTCAGCTGCAGGGCGTTCAGCACAGCTGGTATTACCTGACAGTCACACACACACACACACGTCTCAGCTACAGGGCGGTTCAGCACAGCTGGTATTACCTGACAGTCACACACACACACACACACGTCTCAGCTACAGGGCGGTTCAGCACAGCTGGTATTACCTGATAGTCACACACACACACACACACACACGTCTCAGCTGCAGGGCGGTCAGCACAGCTGGTATTACCTGATAGTCACACACACACCATACACACACACACACACACGTCTCAGCTGCAGGGCGGTCAGCACAGCTGGTATTACCTGATAGTCGCTCACACACACACACACCATACACACACACACACACACGTCTCAGCTGCAGGGCGTTCAGCACAGCTGGTATTACCTGATAGTCACACACACACCATACACACACACACACACACGTCTCAGCTGCAGGGCGTTCAGCACAGCTGGTATTACCTGATAGTCACACACACACACACACACACACACACACGTCTCAGCTGCAGGGCGGTTCAGCACAGCTGGTATTACCTGATGGTCACACACCATACACACACACACACACACGTCTCAGCTGCAGGGCGGTCAGCACAGCTGGTATTACCTGATAGTCACTCACACACACACACACCATACACACACACACACACACGTCTCAGCTGCAGGGCGGTTCAGCACAGCTGGTATTACCTGATAGTCACACACACACACACACACACACACACACACACACACACACACACACACGTCTCAGCTGCAGGGCGGTTCAGCACAGCTGGTATTACCTGATAGTCACACACACACACACACACACACACACACACACACACACGTCTCAGCTGCAGGGCGTTCAGCACAGCTGGTATTACCTGATGGTCACACACACACCACACACACACACACACACGTCTCAGCTGCAGGGCGGTTCAGCACAGCTGGTATTACCTGATGGTCACACACACACCACACACACACACACACACGTCTCAGCTGCAGGGCGGTCAGCACAGCTGGTATTACCTGATAGTCGCTCACACACACACACACCATACACACACACACACACACGTCTCAGCTGCAGGGCGGTCAGCACAGCTGGTATTACCTGATAGTCACACACACACACACACACGTCTCAGCTGCAGGGCGGTTCAGCACAGCTGGTATTACCTGATAGTCACACACACACACACACACACACACACACACACACGTCTCAGCTGCAGGGCGGTTCAGCACAGCTGGTATTACCTGATAGTCACACACACACACACACACACACACACACACACACACACGTCTCAGCTGCAGGGCGGTTCAGCACAGCTGGTATTACCTGATAGTCAGCCGCCCTTGACAGCTGCTGGTTTGCTTGCTGGACGTGCACCTCGGCATTCTCCACGTTGGCTTCTATGCTGTCTTTAGAATAAAACACACACACAAAACTGTTAAACAGGTGCTGCCGTGCTAGTCACAGAGCTGCGCAAATCACCTAATTTTATTCATGGTTAAGATTAAATACATTCATTATTCAAAGGTTTATATGCGTACAGCTGAATTTTCTTTTAGCAACTGTATTTCTCAGGTGCCTCAAACAATACAGAAACAATGTGAAGAAAATGAACTTGATTACCTTCATTGCCGTGTACTCCAGTTCTACCTGGTAAACCCCAAAAGTACTGTCACCGAGTCTGCATCCTGTGATGGCCAACTCAGTACCAAGCAAAGCATTCTGAGCTTTGCTTCAGGGGAAATAGGGAGGCCTGAAAACCGTCATCTGCTCAGGGGCCAGCATCAACCTCCTCTGTGCTGGAAGCCAAGGCTCCCTGAGAGTCCCCACAGCCTTCTCCAGTGGTGACAGGTTTCCTTCCTCCCCTCCTCCGAACTGGGGGTAGAACATCCTGCATCTGTAGGATGGATGGCCGCTGTCTCCTCCTCCTCCTGCCGACGTCAGAGCTCACGCCTACCTCTGTCACTCCGCAGGGCAGCGGGTATCCCAAGATGTCTTTTCTTCTTTTTCCTTGACTGTTTTAGTCCCTGCTCCACTGATATTCTCTTCAATGCTTCTACTATTATCCATATTGGCGATCTCAATGTCTAGCTGCTGACCCTCAAATACCCAGGCCTCTCAAATCTTTGAACACACATTTGTTTCATCGACTTTGCCTGTGACGCTTTCTGAGCCATCCACTTCCATGGTCACGTTCCAAACCTGTCATGACCAGCAATTGCAGCTTCTCTATAATCTCCAATCCAGGTCTCACTCTCCGATCACCACCAGGTACCTTGCGAGTTCTTTCCTTCTAAGACCCCAACTTTAGTGACCCTAACCCTGTTTCATGGCCCCTTACATACTTCACGTCCTCACCTCCCTCTTCCTTACGTTCGACTCCATGGACAGTCATTTGCCACTGCTTTCTTGCACTCATCGTCAGCCCTCGTTCCCCCTATTGCAGTCACACTTAGGTGAAAAAACCCCAACCTATTCTGTGCCGCTGTATGTGGGTACAAAAAAGTCACCAGGGCTGACTTATTTCACTTTAAATTCTTGACTGCAGGGCACTTTGCCCCATCTCCCCAACTCCTGGAAGGTAAGTCACACTTTCTCCACGAACTTCCCATGCCTCCTCACTCTGTAATTCTCCACCAGGGGCCTTATTTCTAGATCACTGAGACAACAGGAGCAATCAGAAGACACTCCCACAATCTCCTCTGACCCCACCCACTACCACATGCAACCATCTCTGTGCCCAGTGAGACCCATCTGTGCTCAGCGACGGCCAACCACTCCGTGCGTGCGTTTGATCCCATTCCTGCTGCCTAGCTCAACAACCTCAGGCCAGCAATTGCTTCCCTCTCACACTCAACACTTCTTTCTCATCAATCCTATTGCTGCCATCTTAAACACAAGCCAACCCTCCAATCTCTCCTTGATGCCACATCCACTGGTGGTTAGGACCTCACGTGACTCCTAGAAAAAGCTGTCTCCATTTGCTATCTCCAGTCACTCTCCTCCCGGTCTGTCTGGAACCTACTTTATCGTGCTTTTACCTGCGCGATTTCACCAGCACAGCTCTCATCTGAGGTCATCTATGCCCAACATGTTGTTGAATTCAGCAGTCAACTCTTAATCCTCAGCTCACCTAACCCAACAGCAGCATCTGAGAAAGCAGAAGGGTCATCACCCTGAAATGCTTCCTCCACACCATCCTAAAACTGTACACTCACGTGGTTTTCTTCTGCATCACTGACTATTCTTTCTTGGTCATTTTTGTTGGTTTCTCCTTGGCTCTCTAGCCTCTAAATCAGAGATCGACAAACTTTTTCCTTTCCTTAAACAATTTAAGCTTTGCAGTTCTTTCTTATGGTTTCTGTCATACATACTCACCTATGCCTCTGTTGTACAAAACCTGTTGTAGACAACACATAAATGAATGGACGCAGTTTGCTGACTGTGCTCTAAATATTTACAAGTCCTTAGAACCCCCTCTTGCTCAGTTGTGTCACACTCTTTGTGACCCCATGGACTGTAGCCTGCCAGGCTCCTCTGTCCATGGAATTCTCTGGGCAAGAATACTGGAGTGGGTTGTCATTCCCTTCTCCAGGGGATCTTCCCAACCCAGGGATCAAACCCAGGTCTCCTACATTGCAGGCAGACTCTTTACTGAGCCACCAGGGAAGCCTCTCTCTTCTCTCTCTCTACTTATTTCCCAGGTGATCTTACCTAATCTCATGGCTTTAAATACCATCCATATGCAGATGATGCCCAGATTTAAGACCCCAGCCCAAACACTTCCCCTTCCCTCACGTTCCCAACCCAACAGTCCAAGTGGGCCTCCTAAAACCCAGGTCAGATGATCACGCCCTTCTGCTCACACCTTCCTCTGGCTTCTCCTCCATTAACACAAAAACTGCTCTCATGACGGCTCAGGGGCCCATGTGATCTGGTCCTGTGTGACTTCGGACACTGTCTCCATCCTCCGCGTGCTCACTCCCTTCACTTAAAATGTCAGGCATGCTTCTGCCCAAAGGCCAGGGCACCTGCTGTTCCCTCTGCCTGGCATCTCTTCTCCTGCTGGCTTCCTTACTCCTGTGAAGTCCTCACTAAAACGTCACCTGCCCTTACTGATTCCACGCTGAAAAGCAGCGTCTTCCCCAGTACCTGCTGTCCCACCCCAATCTGGCCTTATTTTCCCCATAAACACTCATCACCACTTACTTTTCTTTCTGTTCTGTCTCTCTCCTCCAATTAGATTATAATATCTTTTATTTGCTGTTTAATTTCAGCTGAATCCTCAATGCCTAGATTTATGCCTGAATGTAGTCGGCACTCAATAAATATTTATTGGATGAATGAATGGTTTCTTAAGTTTTACCCTGTGATCTACTGGGACTACAGAAGAGGGTAAGAATAGAAAAATAATAATTAAACTATAGGTTCAAGTATTTAAACTATACCAAATTCAGAAAACATATTAAATATATCTTTAGTATACTCACAAATATCTTCATACTTAAAAATGATAAAGAAGATCAGAATCTTGATCAATGCTTATAATTATATCCTATATGAATTACAATTACATTTAAAATTTAAAGGAAGTCTTACAGAGTTTATAAAAAAGAATTAAAAGAATTCTCAGTAATTAAGTAATACTACTAAATTAATATGCTAAAAAAGTTATGAGAATGACTATTTAGGCAAATGGCTACTTATTCCCTCTACTTGAGAAGAGAAGACAGTGTACACGTTATGAAAAGACATTTTCTCCAAAGTCTTGGTGTGATGAGAATAAACTGGGGATAAGATAGAAACAAGAGGTCCTGGGAATGAGCTAGCATGATGCTACATGGAACTTTCCATGATCTCAGCAGCAGCAGACCCTGGTTAAATTTGGGACTTCTTAAATATATGAAATTGGTCACTTCAACCAGTAGGAGCCAAAAATGATATCTGTTTCAGATAATGCCAAGGGTGGTGCTTTGTCTGTTGTAGACATGGTACTTTTGACTCCAGGAAGACCCAAAGAGAGAAAAGGGGGTAAGTTACTCTGGCTTGAGAAGTTACCACAGGGAAACTGCATGTGGCCTGCTTCCACCTCATGAAATTTCACATGTAGGGCTTACCTATTACATCGCCTTGCTCGTGAATCATCATTCCCAAATCTTTAAATATTTCATTAATATCCATAATATCAGCCTAAGAGAAAAAAAGTACATTTTATTATAATCGGAAATTCAGTCCCCAATCCACAAAGGGGGAAAATTTTTAAAAAACCCAAACCACTACTCATAGCTAGGTGACCATGCATCTGGACTTAATAACATACATTTTGGGCATATGAGAAAACTATTTGACTATAGGCAATCCCAAGTAAGTAGACTCTGAATAACAGTAACCATTTCTCTAAAACAAGTTTGTAATGTTAAAAATATCAGGTGATTTGGAATGGAAATGAACAATATATGTAATAGAGAAGGGTGGTGCGTTATTGAATTTACACCATGCAATATGATTAGTCTTGTTATCACAAGCAGTATTTCCTCAAAAACATTGAGAATATTCTAGTAAAAATTTATATGTCAATTTGACACTTAGGACTGTGCTGGGTCTTTTTATGGCACGTGGGCTTAATTTCCTCACAGTGTGTGAGACCTTAGTTCTCTGATGAGGCACTGAACCTATGTTCCCTGCACTGGAACGTGGATTCTTAACCACTGGACTACCAGGGAAGTCCCTTGATTTGACACTTTAAAAGAATAAAACATGAGGTGTAAATTCAAATTCTCAAATTAATAAACTTGAATACACAATGGAATAGTGATGAATAAATAAGTTATAAATTTAATTTTCTTTAATATATAACTACTATTTTGCCTGATTAAAGAGTAACATGTAAATACTTTATTCAGGAAGAGTGGGCGGATTTACACATTCATCCTAGAACTTGGCTTTCTCATCTGTAAAATGGGGAGTAATAATAACACAGTTAAGTTACTTTTATGAAAACTAAATGAGACAATACGAACAATTTATCACATAGTGCTTGATGGATGGAATCCATCAATAAATGGTAGCTATTGTTAGCTATTATCAGGCCACTTTCCAGGGAACCGCTGGTTCCCTATGAACTAAGGTTATAAACCTTTCAGACCTCTTCGATATCCTACATGTACTAAAGGGAAATAAAATACGTTTAAAGCCCTTGGAAGAAATCTGATTCATGCAGGTGTGATGTGTATTATGTGCCATGGAAGCCATCCAGACTCTCTGAACAGAACTTTATCACCAGACTGATATTTTTCTCAATGGTCAGATGACTTAACAGAATTTAAAAAAAAAGAAAGAAAATTTGGAGTGGAGGGGAGTATATTTTCTCATCCTAGCACAATTTCTGAAGAGATTACTCTTTTTAAAAGCAATGATTCTAACTTATATGAGAAATGCCACCGAATTGATATTTATTTAGTTTTCTCTCTTGACCCTTCTCCCAGCATCACCTAAGCATCTTGAGAACAAGCTCACTAAGGGAGGCAGTTCAATCCTACAATATAAAGCTTACTTCGAGTTGCCTGATAGAAGACTCTCTCTCCTGAATAAGGCGCAGGTCATCCTCTGTAATTTCTTCATCCTGCAACTGAGCCTGAGGCTGAGTTTGGCTATTAAAAAAAAAGGACTATGTAAAAAAAAAGAAAAACTGGTATGGAAATAAGGGTGCTTCCTTCTTATTACAGAAATACTTATTGAACAGAACATTTTTGCTTGAAAGTCACAGAATTGCTCACTTAAATTCTAAAAGTATAACAGAAATGTTAACCAAATTTTATTCATTTTCATTTCAATGATTTTTTTTAGAGTTATTACTTAATTATTGGAAGCTATTACATCTGGCAAGTCAGTATTTCTTCTTGGTTGACTTAAACCTCACACACGGGAATAATCGATATCAAAAATAATCTTAATCAAAAATTAAGTCGGATAAATAACTATTTAAAGAGTATTATTAGTATACTGGACTGTTTTTATATATTTTATAATAATTATTTAAAAATTTTTTCAAATGTATTGTTTTCTATTTATAAATAACTTAGGAATCATGATATAATATGTTGAAAACTAATTTTGCCCAAGACCATGATGTAAAAAACAAATACGAAAAATAATCTTTTACTCGGTATACTGTTTTATACTTCTTACCTTTCCCAGGATACAAGATTCCTTTCTTTTGAGCTCTCCTCAGGAAAACCGCCCTGAATAATTTAGTAAGAGAATGGATTGAGAAGGCACAAAGGAAAAGCACACAACACTCATATTTTCCTTTATAATAACTTAAACCAATTTATGTCCACACTGGAGGAGAGGTGTAAGAAAAGAGAAAGGTTCTTCTTCTAATATTTTAAGTCAATTACTTCAAGCAATAATAAAACTATACCCTAAGCTGATATGGAAGGAATTCATTAAATATTCTCAAGAGCCAAATAATAAGTATTATTTGATTAAAACAGAATGTAGCCTTAGAACCTCTACATTAAGGAACAAGGAAACACGATAGTTTCCAGGGAGATTTAAAATTAGATTCAATTAAAATTCCACTCTAACTTATCCTTCCATTTATCTTCTCCAGGTCTAAGTTCATTTTCAATATTCACACAATATATTCACTCTGTTCATTTCAAATCATCTTCATATAACCCAGGAGTAAAGAGTCTTCTACTCCAGCAGGAATACAAAGTAACAGCCTCGGTGCAAATCAGGATTTGATTCCTAATCTTCTCTGACAGAACGTTTCCGTATTTTTATATAATCTGTAATCTTTTGTTTCATGACATGGACAGAATAACCACAATAATACGCAATTATCATCCTTTTAAAAACTGAGCAGAAACTCCTGAAAATAAACATTCAACACCGATTTCCAAGATATTCATAGGTCTTTAAGACTCAAAAACCATGCCATGTGGTTTGTACAGGATCCCTGGGAATACCGTGTTCAGCTTTACATGCCGTTTTAAATACTCACAGATACTCTGGAGCTGGCTCTTACTCGAGCAACAAATTCTTTCTCTCTCTCAGCAGCCTGCCTCTGCACCTTCTGAAAGTTTGTCAGCGATGTTGTGAATTCAGCCACTAAGCGATCCTTCTGTATTTTCCTTTGACGCTAGAGAGGCGGGGAAAAGAAACCTGCTAGAATCAAGCTGTGAAGTTCTGTAGAATTTGCAAAAGCTGTTTTGCTAGAAGCTGGCTCTTTATTTAATTTCGAAAATTTCACTCACTCTATTACAGAGCCTTACTGATTAACACTCAATAACATTTTGCTCAATTTGATAATGTGTTCAAACAAATATATAATGTGTTCAAACAAACACTGTGCATATTTATCTTGAGGCAAAGGCCCATAATGTTGGATTTTTCACCTCAAGTTTTCATCCTAAAAACTAGGCCACACTTATAAAGTAATTCCTCTTCTTCTTTATTTTAATGGAAATAAAAGCTTTGATTCACCTAAGTAATAACTTCCACTAAGTAAGCAGGGTAATAAAAACGGGTGCCCCGAGGAAACCTCACATCTTGAATGAGCATGCAAGTTGCATGAAGTCAGTCCTGGAAGGTCAGGAAACAATTAGTCAGGAAGCATTTTCTGAGCACTTATTTAATTATGGGTCAGGACAACTGCATGGAAATAATTTTTGCTTTACTGAATCACAGGATACTACCTGGGCAATTAAATACAGTTTTGTGTTCTCTGAACTAATCTCAAATATTTTTTTCCCCCAATTTCCTTTCTAGTATAAAGATCAGTTCAAAGATCCTACAACGCATTTGATTCCTTTCACATTCAGTACATCAACACTGTGTCTTAAAGCTTCATACCTGGTCACTGGGGGTGGTGGGCAGAGATCCAAACTCTTTAATGTACTTATCTGTTTCTTTGGCAAGTTGGTTCGTATACTGCTGCTTCTGCTGGCTAAAGTGAGAAAACACGCATCACAGTTAAAGAACTAAGATATTTCTTGAAACTATAACTCTGCCACTCGATTCAACCCTGATGAACAGTTTTAGAAAAATCACTTTTTTTTAAGAAACTGGCTCAAATTTTCTCTATGAAAACAAAGTTCTCAGGTTCTATAAATATTGAGTAAATACTATGTGGAAGGTGCTTTACTCACATATGGAGATAACCAAGCTTTGAGAAATAAATATCAGCAGCTATTTAGGAAAGAAGATGACTAAAGCCAACGAGAGATTGTAAAATGTCTGATGTTTGAGATCTGGTGGATGTGGGAGCTTAAAACGCTGTCCTGTTCTCAGGGTACAGCCAGCCTCTCTCATTTCTCTACCGGGGTATTTATATCCTATAGATACTATATTAAAAAAAAAAAGAGCAGAAGTCACAATGATTAATAGTACAAATTTACTAGTATTTATGTTCACCATAGGAAAAAAAATGATAGCACTTCTCTGTAAAAAAGAAACCAAACACAGTGAGAGATAAATTACATAGTTACCTGTTTCTATCTTGCTAACTAGCTTATAAAGTGAAAAGTAAGATCTATAACTAAAGAAGTTGACACTTAAAAAAAGCTTGTATTCATGTGATGTTTTACAGGCCACATATCAGTACTTCTCATATATATCATCTCTCATTTTATTTATTTTTTTGCTTTTTAAAAAAAATAATTTATTTTTTATTGAAGAATAATTGCTTTATAGAACCTTGCTGTTTTCTGTCAAACCTCAACATGAATCAGCCATAGGTATACATACATCCCCTCCCTTTTTGAAGCTCCCTCCTATCTCCCTCCCACCCCACCCCTCTAGGTTGATACAGAGCCCCTGTTTGAGTTTCCTGTGTATTGGTCACACTTTGGGTCCTTTAAAATAATGAGAAACTATATGATAATATTGGAGAAGGCAATGGCACCCCACTCCAATACTCTTGCCTAGAAAATCCCATGAACGGAGGAGCCTGGTAGGCTTCAGTCCATGCGGTCACTGAGAGTCCGGCACGACTGAGCGACTTCACTTTCACTTTCATGCATTGGAGAAGGAAATGGCAATCCACTCCAGTGTTCTTGCTGGAGAATCCCAGGGACGGGGGAGCCTGGTGGGCTGCCGTCTATGGGGTCGCACAGAGTCGGACACGACTGAAGCGACTTAGCAGCAGCAGCATATGATAATATCTTTTAGTATATAGGTATCTATATTTGACTGATGAGGAATTATACCACACTTATATATGTTTACCAAATGCCCTATCTTTATATGCCTTTTACAAATCTTTATGAAAAGTAATAAAATTCTAAAAAGAAGACTTTAATGATATCTACATATTCAGAATCTCCACTCTTAACCTTAGCAAAATATTGTTAACTATTAAGAATTATGGCTTCTGTTCTATTTTACTTTATTTTAATAAATGATGGTTTATTATTTAGATTTAGGATGTGTTTATCCCCCTGATATCTATCCACTGCAGAAAAATGCAATATAAATTATAAGACAACTATAAATTCCTCAAACTGTACTTCACAAAAAATATGAATTATTATTACCTATCTTTTAGTTTCTTCTTTTTTGCAACTTTTCCTTCTTTAGCTAATGTTTGGCATTTCATTTATTACATATTTACTACTTGAAATTTGTAGCTGGCAATAGTGCTAAATTAACATTTAAAAATGATTCAGCTTTAGAATAATGTTGAGCAAACCATCAAACCCCAAACAGAAATGTCTTCCTTATAAGCAAAATGGAAATAGTTCTTTTGATCTACTTAGCTCACTGCAATTTTGTAAGGTTTTATGAGAAAAGGTATAAAAACACACTGTAAAATCTGTAACACCACAAAGTATTGTTGCTGTTGTTCTATAGCATATTTCTCAAATATGTAAGTACATTATTTGATTATATCTTTTATTTTTCAAACAGAGGCTAATGTTTTCTGAAATTCAAGGATGTAAAGATAAACTTTGCGGGGGCATAGTTCATACTGGATGTTCAATGAAATCTAAGCGAAATAAATAAAAATCATCACAGGGATTGTTAGCTATGAGAAGTGACTCACACAGGGAGAAGCTTAGAGTACTGTTTTTCTAAAGCCATCAGAAACAACCTATTAAAAAGTATTAGGTAACCAAAGAAGTTCTGCTTTGATAGAGAAAGCCAGATCTTTAAAATAAAGAAAAACAGCTGCCCACTTTGGACAGGGAAAAACTTACACAAAATCTGAGTACAAATGAGGCAGCAGAAAAAAAGTATTAATTTTTCATTGTTTTCTCCAATAAATATAACACTATACACTATCAAATGAACATAACAATAGGTGGTTTTCCCTCTTTATTTATTTTCTTTTTGATGTTTAATTAAATACTTACAGCTGTTGCCTCAATTCAGGTGAATCTTGAGGTGTTCCAAGTTGATTCAGAGTCCTCTGTATTTCCGCAGCTATTATGATAGAAAGTAAATGTATAGTAATTATTACAAACGTTAGGCCATTAGAAATTAAGTTAGAAGTTAACACAAGCAATAGGACAGTTAGAAAAAGACAGGAAAAACAAAGAGATAAATATAGAAAATATTAGTTGAGAAAAAAAAAATCAATGGTTTATTCAAATCTAATTAGTGACAATGAATTGTGTGGGTACCTTAACATGTGAAACTGTAACTATGATCCAAAAATACTATCTTCTTCCCTATTCCATCAGGACATTTGGTACAATGGCACAAGAACTGTCACGTAAATTCTACTGGCACAAAAATTGTGAGGAAAATATGATTCACTGGGATATAAAGTGAATGAATTACAGTTAATAAATGAATGAGGAATAACAAAATTAGAATAATCATTTTTCAACTGTCTATGTAATAAGCAAATCAAGCAAGAATCAAAGGATGCTAAAACCATGGGAATACTCACATGACCTTAAATTATCATCACATAGATGTCATTAACTTGGGCTAACTTTATAGAAGATTAATCTGTTGCTTATAACAAATGACCAAATTTAGGATAACCAATTGTACAAACTAGCATTATGAGCCTCCTGACATGATGCAACAAGAAAGTCACAAAATGACCTATGTATTTTTCTTGCCAAAATATTTAACTGGAATCTATAAGCAACGGAGCACACACCACACACAATCATGAGAAAGAAATCAGACCAATCTAGATTATGTGATAATCTACAAAATGACTGATCTGTACTTCTTAAAATATTAATATCACAAAAGAAAAAAATATATAAAAGCAGGAAGCTTTCTAAATTAAAAACACAAAATACTTTCTAAGTTAAAAACATAAAATAACACCCAGTATACAATTTTTGACTGGCTTCTGATTCAGGAAAAAAAAAAAAACCTACAAAAACTATTTTTAAAAAGTTGTAGAGACAACCAGAGAAACCTGAATTGAATCTGGAGAGAGAAAGACTAAACTAAAGTTGAAAAATGTCAACAACTGGTGAACCCAGGTAAAGGGTATATAAAAAGATCACTGCACTATACTTTTACTCTTCTGTAGGTTTTAAATATTTCATGCTGAGTTCCCCACTCAGAAGTCTACCACTGTAATAATAGTAATAAAAAAAAAGGCTCTTTACAAAGGGGAAGGTTCTAGCTTTATGCATTTATGTACACAAATAAAATGTCAAGCAGAGATAAGTTGAAAATGCATCTCAAAGTAAAGAACTTTCACATTTCCAAGAACTAGGGAAAAATGATCCAACCCACCCATTCTTTTTCATTTAAAAGAAATCGTTTATTTATATAGCTTAAATGCTTTTAAAAAGTCATTGTTTATTTATGGGATCAAGGGAATGATTGTATTCCAAAACACAGGATTACTTTTGTTCAGTCAGGATGATGTAATGAATATTGCTTTCAAGTCAAAGATGGAAAATATAAATACTGGAGAGGAAATATATAGCAACTGTTAACCATTCAGCTAGTTACAAAGGAATTTCTTTTTGCTTTTTTTTGGTAATAGATGTTTTCTTTTGTGAGGTGAGAAACTTTGCTGTTTTAAACTTATGGTTGCTTTGTACAATAAGTTATATATTTCCTTCTCAACCTCAGTGGATTCTCCTAGGCTACCTTATAGGGGTTTAAAGCTTTCACTTTTGGAAAAAGTATGCTGGTAAGACAAATTGATGCAGACATTTATCGTTATTTCGAGAGGATTCTTGTCTTTTAAAAAGGCCATGGTAAGTGAAAAAAAAAAAGACTGCTCAATAAATGACATGAGGAAAACTGACCAACCATTTGGGGGTTAAAACAGAGAACTCAATGTAACCTCATGAAGGAAAATAAATCTGTAAAAAATTAATAATTTAAACATTAAAAATGGAAACTATTAAACTGCTACATAAAACTATAAAAATGTACTTATTACACAATCTTATTTATGATTTTGGAATAGGTACAAAATATTATCCAAGTATAACACAAAACTAAGAACCATGAAGGAAAATATTATCAAACTGGCAAAAAATACACAAAAATTTTAAATGTTATATGAAAAATATGTATCTTTATTACAAATCCATACAAGTAACATATGTGTGTGTGTACGTGGGAGAAAATGCCTGCAGCATACGATAAGTAAAGGGGTTAATATTCTTAGTATAGAAAAAAAACTTCTAAAAGTTGGAAATATAAAAATAGTCCAATAAAAAAAGGTAAAAGGTATCATCTTAAAATAATTACAAGCAAATAAACATATGAGAAGTTCAACTTCATTGACAATAAACTTTTCATATATCAGATTGGAAAAACTCAAGAAAAATAAGTGGATGATAATATAATCACAAGTGAAAGTCTTCATAAAGACATAGGGAAGAATAATATCCATCATGTAGAAAGAATCAGAAATAACTGAGGAAAGGTCAGACAAACCAGTACAAAGGTAGGCCAGGAACAGGACCTTTAATAATATTCACTGAAAACATGAAGAGCAAAAAACAAGAAAGAAAAGAAGACTGAAAAGTGTCAATCCTAGAAAGGATAAATAATTTTAATGAATGAACGCTATATAAAATTGTTTGGCCATTAAAAAGAAATTAAGTAGACATGCTTCTGATAGACCCAGTGGGAGGGAGCCTAAGTCCACCAAATGGTTATTGCCCTGGTTTTTGTAAACAGATACACTCAGCAACCCCAGTCTTCATCCTTTCTCCCTGAGAAAGGACTCATATGCAAAGGAGGACATAACTGGGAGCCCAGGGCTCTACGCCTCAAGAAAACAGAAGAATATCAGCCACACCTCTTCTTGGGCACTGCCCAGAAATGTCAGGAAGACCTGACGAGCTGAGAGCTGTGAAGCCTCTCCTACTCCCATTTGCCTGGTTTGTCCAGAGGATGGGGAAGGCAAACATTAAGGATTGGGAAGTAAGGATGGCTAGCACAGGCTTCTTTAAATGGTGACTCCCATTGTGATGCTCCTCAAAATGTGATCTATTTGCTAGAATACATCATCAAAATCGTTGGCGCCTTGTACAAACCTTCTGATACGGTAAACACTTTTTGCTCTATCCTAAAAAATAGAAAACAAGAGGAGTATGCTTTCAGCTGGATGGGGTGGGTGGCAAGCCTTCAAAGTCTTATCTTAGGGTTATACACCCTCTTTATCACTGTACAAGTTAGGTGTCAAGATTATTGATCCTCTCCTCCTACAGGACACTACACTAGTGTCCAATACACTGCTTACACGTGCTTTTAACATCTGCAAAGTGAGAAGCCACATGTTCTCTTAGGTGCCTTGGAAGGATGGAAGTATGCCAGCAGACAGAAGATAAATTAATGCAGAGACCTGTTTCCTTAGTGAAGCATCTTGGTCCATTGATCCATATGGATCACTGATACACTCCTACAGAGTAAATGACAAATTGCTTTTCTCTGCAGTCTCAAATACAAATGGGCAAATACAGCTTAGTGATACATATTTATATGGCTCCAATCCATTTTACTGAATGCCCTAAAAGGTTGCTGGCTCTGGCTTCAACTCTCCAACAGAAAAGGCTATTCTGCTAGTTCAAGTGGTGGCACGAGCAGTCCTACAACTTGGCTTCAGTGACCTGCTTGATCCAATGGTAACTCCAGAACCTGTGCAATTTCAGGGTTCTGTATAAAACTAGTGGCAAGGTCCACTAGGGAAAAAACAACAGAAGTCCCTTAGATTCATTGAGCAAAACGACGCTCTTTGTCAAGCCAATATTACCCTTTTGAGGAATAGTTCTAGTCTTACTACTGATTCTTGGATAAAAAGTAAACAGTGATATACCAGGTGACCCAGTGACTTGAGTTGCCTGCTACATACTAGGTGTTATGTTATCTTGTTGATAGGTTCTTCCTTGGTGGCTCAGTCAGTAAAGATTCTGCCTGCAATGCAGGAGACCTGGGTTTGATTCCTGGGTCGGGAAGATCCCCTGGAGGAAGACATGGCTACCCACTCCAGTATTCTCACCTAGAGAATTCCATGGACAGAGGAGCCTGGGGGGTCACGGTCTGGGGGGCTGCAAAGAGTCGGACACGACTGAGTGACAAACACTTTCACTATCTTGTTGGTGTATCTCTTTCTAGATTTTGTATGTTAGTCAACCTGCCTCACTCCAGCTTCGGCAGCACTTGTTCAGTGGAATAAACAACCAGCAATGGTTTAAGAATTAAAAACTACATACAAGCTCTGCCAACATGGACTTCCCTTTCCTCAGATTAACATGATTACCAACAATGCCATACCATTTTTCAGCCAACAGCAATCAAAAGCAAATATACAATGTGGCACCATTCTGGGGGGTTATGAGCCAGTCACGCAGCGGCAAGACAACTAGAGCCCTTCCATTTTGGCGGAAGTGGAGCTTCATATTGACTGAAATCGCAACACTATGGATTTTGTATACTTCTTCTACTGCCCTCCCCGCATGATCCCACCGGCTTCTGAATCCATGTATCAATCACAACCATTCTACCCACCAGTGCTCCTGATCAAGACACTCAATTTAACAGAGAAAAAAAACAAAATATATATATATATAAAACAGAGCTCCCAAAAACCAAGAATTCCTTGGTCTGCCAGTACTCCTTTATCTGGAAGCTGCTGGGTTTCTAGAATGTCTAATGGCCTTTTGAAGACCCAATTATGGGGTCACCTGAGAGACAGTATCTCGGGAAGCTGGAGTGCAATCCCACAGGACCTTTATGCGCGCAAAGACCCACTACGCTCTGGTGCTGCTTCACCCATATCCACAAAGAAAACTCAGATTTAGGACCTAAAGTGTGAAAGTGAAGAGAAATAGTTCACATTCACGTCGAATCACCCACTTGCAAACTTTCTTCCATCCCTTGGGATGATCTGGAGACAATATTCACGTAAGGAGTGTAACGGGGCTCCACCTGAGCGGAGGCTGAGAGTCCATGGGCCACTTGGGGCCAGGGCAGAACAGTGT